TGATTGTATATGATAATGATCCCGATGCTTGGCATGTTCAGGCAATCAGCTAGTCAATATTTAATATATTTATGTTTAATCAAACCCACATAAAGGAAACTATTCATTCTATTTACTTTGGGGTGCAGATATCTTGGTCAATTGATTCAAATTCTATTAAGGGATTTCCAAAAGATCCAAAAAATGCAATAAAGAAGGTGAATGCTAGTTTTGTCATTTTTTTAATTTTTTATGCTTCATTTCAATTCATCAACTAAAACCATGTTTCGTGGGACAACATAAAGCTTGAATTTTACTATGACATAAAGCTTGAATTTTACTATGACTTCTACAAGACCTGGTATGTGGAAAGAATGTATTGATTGACATGAGCATACATATAGCATATGCGAAGGCCATTCGCATTGCACAGCATTACATTTATATAGAGAATCAATATTTCATTAGGTCTTTGTACAATTAGATTCAATATAAAGACCTAGTTATGGGGAACTCCTTTTTACGTAGCGATCTTCAAGAATTTCATCATATGAGTATTTGATAGCATCTTTTAGGATTTGCAAGAACATAAATGAACAAGATGTATTAGAAAAGCTTTTGTAGGCATAAAACATGGAGAATCCATGTCCAACTAATTTGATTGAGTAAATGCTACCATGATCTATCAGATAAGTTAAAACTTACTTTCCTTGACTCTATAGGTGTTAATAACTTAATTCTAATGGAAATTGCCCTTAATATTGCTGCAAAGATAAAGGCAAATGAGAGATTTGTAGTGTATATTATTATACCAATGTGGCCAAAAGGTGTTCCTTCTGGGGCTACCACTTAGAGGATTCTATTTTGGCAGGTATACTTAAAGACAAAGAGGACAAATATTGTATTCATATAGTATATGATTACTTGTTCAAATGTTTCTGATGGGAATTCTGCTTGATAACTAGACTTTGGAAATAAATTAAAAGTTAGACTTCTGTTAGCTATTTGTATTGCTAAGTAATTAAGTCAGCTAGTGAGATGTATTTACCTTCAAAATTATTTGTGGACTTTAAGAGTCAACGACAATGCTCTGACTAGAATTTATTAGAGGAGAAAGCTTATGCATATAAGAGTGGGAAATGAGACAAATGTCTCAATCAAATTCCATATAACCAATAAAATTCAAAAGATGAATATTTAGAGAAAATGAATATTAATTCTTCAACTTTATTCATATACAAAGGAGGACAATTTATAAGGACCATAGCCATGAAGAAACAACTAGAATCTTGAGATGCAGGAAGCCTTAAAAGGAAAGAAAATAAAGGGAAAATAAAAGGCAATAAAGCAAGTCATTGAAAAAAGTTTATAAAGTATAAACCCAAGTCCATAGGATTTTGGATTAAAGGTCACTTGCATAATCATATATAGTAAGAGTAGAATCTAGGTTAATCCTAATAGCCTGAAAATTTTCAACAACTAGAACAGCTAATGAGTAATGACCAATACTCCCTTTCATTTTGGGGTGTATATATTAATCATCTCTACTTGACTTCAATGTTATGCAAATTGGATTGGCCATTAAGTTAATTGAATCTCAGGTTCATCCTCAATTCACTAATTAACTCTTTAATAATAAACCTTCATAAATTCATTGAGGCAAAGTCTTTTTAGAATTGTTCTTCTTAACACCAAGTACTGATTCTTGCTCATTCTTTTTTTTAAAGGCCAACTATTCTTGCTCATTTGAGTTACTTGATTTTCAAGATATAAGTACAATAACACTAAGTGAACCTTTTAACATCAACTCATTTTCAACATTCAAAACCTTGGCAATTATCAGCATCTCTATTTGCCTCACCAAAGACATTTTATAGCAATTTTCAATCATTGCTACTCAAAAATTCTCTTAGCAAGCATTAATCTGGAGTTTAAAGGGTAAGGATTTCATTTGTTTCCTCTAGGTCAACCTATGAGGTTCTCATTCCCCACTTGTCTTAATATTCAAGTGAAAGTGCATAATGCTTCCATTCCAAGAACTCAAGATGGATTCATTCCTTAATAGATGTTTCAGCTCTAGCATCCAATATTACAACCCTTATTTATTGGCTTACCTCACATACCTTTCAGCTATAGGAAGAGTGACTTGTTTTGTTAACAAGATCATAATTTATAGTTTCTAGGACATATTAAAGCAAAAAAGAATAGGAAAATAAAAATATAACCAAATTTTATTCTTCCAATTCAAATGATATACTTTAACAATAATTTTTTCTGCAACTATTACCAAGGCCATGATATTGGCCTTTCCTTCTCACATGCTAGAGCTCAATCACCTTTTTTTATTTTCATGCATGTTTGAGAACTTTAAAGTCTGTTATATACTTCGGTTTAAAAAATTGACTGTTGGAATATATTCTACTGCACTTTTAATTTTCCTTAGAAAGCTACTATTATGGCACTTTTCATGTGAGAAATGTCTAGGATTACGATAATTATGATTAAGTGAAAGGAAAAAATAAATTTTTTATTGGTTAATTATTTTGACTATTGAATTTTGGTGGCAAAATGAGTAGCAACTATTCTCTGGCCTAGGAAAAAAAACAGTAACAGCTATGTAAGAATTCTCTAACTTAAGACCAAAATAGCCTGCCAAAAGGGTTAAATGTTTAGAACTCCTAGTTTCTATATGAGTATATGTCAAGAAAAAAGTTAGTACACCTATCTGCACTTAGTTATGGAATTTGTTAATCTGGATTTTTTTATTTGATTAGCGCAGCAAAAAATAATGCAAATGATGTATGACAGTTTCAAAGGCTTTAGTTGAGGTTGGGCTAGAAGCAGCATTCTCCTCGCTGGATTATTTAAACTTTTTTGTCTTAGAAATCACGAAATCATAGACATGTATGATTATAGTAGTATGCTTGGAACTCCTCCTCTAGTAAATAGTCCTCAAGTATCATTCTCTCTTTCCTCCTCTTCCCTCTCCTGCCTCTCAGATACATCATTCTGTCATAAATTTTAGAAACAAAATTCAATTTACAATCACATTCTCCAATAAATTAACATAAACTGTTTACACTAAAAAATGCGGAGCAACATTTTAAAGAGAGTCAACTGTGTAAGGTTGGGTTACGGAAATTCTTTATGGTATATTTTTATTGGACAACCTGATTGCAAACATCTAAGGTACTTGATTTGTGTTTTGTCCAAACATTATTGTTAATTTTAAAGAACCTGCTAATGCAAAGGTAATTGTCAAAATCCAGAATTATAATATCAATGGTAGAAAAGAAATGTTTGCTAGTTGATGTTTCTCTTGTTAGTAAGTAAATTTTGCATTCATCGAATATCAAATTGTTATAATCTGATAATACTCTATCCTTGTTGTCATATTTTAATAGTTATCTTGCGTTTTTTAATTCCTTCAACCTATGCCAAAAGACTTGAATAAGAGTTTTAGCACTTAACAATGTTATAATGTTCTTAATGGCATGCAATCACCATGAACATGCACATTTCTTGTCTATTAGTATTATATTCACAGGCATTTAGTCACAATAGCCATCATTTCATGATTTATGCCCATTCAAAAGGCATGATAGTCGATGATGAATATGTAATATTAGGGTCTGCAAACATCAATCAACGCTCTATGGAAGGAACAAGGGACACTGAGATTGCAATGGGAGCCTCCTAACCTCATTATACCTGGGCAAGGCAACGTTCTTATCCACGTGGCGAGGTAAGGTTTCCTTGTCATCGCAGGTCAAGGACCACTTAGAAATTTAAGTTATTGTACTTAGAAATGCTTATTCGCATAGTATACACCTATCACAAGACCATCATGTACAAATTTTTTAACATAATTCCTAGGGTATTTGGTAAAATTGGGCTAAATAACTAGACAAATTTTAAGGATATATTGGTGTAGTTTTCTTATTATTTGACCTATATTTACGTTTGCAAAACTATGCTCTGTAGGTCCATGGATATAGGATGTCATTTGGGGTGAACATACAGGAAAACTTGAAGACTGCTTCTTAAGGCCAAAGAGCCTTGGATGTGTAAGAAGGATTAGAACAATGGGTGAAATTAACTAGATGCAATTCGCAGCAAATGAAATTACATAGATGAGAGGGCACCTTCTCAAATACCCAGTTGATGTTGATTGAAATGGTAAGGTTAGACCCCTTCCGGGTCATAAAGAATTCCCTGATGTGGGAGGGAGAATAGTTGGATCATTCCTTGCCATTCAAGAGAATCTAATCATTTGACTGATTACAAAGAATCTAAAGAGTAATAAACCATACTGCATGTAAATAGACAGTTTGTAATGAATTTTATTTTTACACTCACATTGATATTGAAATATTTGTTCATTGCATGCACTTTTTGTTTCGTCCTTTAGGATAAGATGCACGTACATTATTCTGTAGAAGGGTTACAATTTTGAAATGGACTATACTAAAAGAAACACAATGCAATGTGCAGTCATAGTCTCTTTGGTTGTTTTATTTTTTGAACTAATAAATCATGGGATTTGGGAGCAACAACGAGCATTTCCAATTTGGATTATTCATATTAGATAAAATTTTATTCATATTTTTAATAAGTACAGAATTTAAAATAAAAATAATTTTTTAAATGTCACTTTGACCCAAAAAATTATAGGTTAAAAATTCTAAATATAAACTATTAAAATTAGTTTTGGATGATTCAGATTTCATCAGTGATAAGTACTATAATGCACAACCAAACCCTTTTCTAATAATGTTTTCCAGTAACACGTGAAAATAAATTGAGTACTGTTTTAGACGGAATATGAATTGAGTAGTGGGCAAAAAATATATACGTATGAATTGATTTTTTTTTTTTTTGACAATGTCTGCTCGTGTCCTCACTGCTCCTTATCCGTGCAACACACCATTTCATTAATGCACTCAAATCTGAACCGTTCAATGTTGTTAGCTAATCTCAACCGTCCAATGCCTTCTAACCCCAAAATCCCTCGTCCCTTCCGGCCTCCAGGTCCATGTCTTCGATGGCTTGGCCGTTTGTGTCACTTCTGAACGAGAAAAGGCATGCGGCGCTGCGGGGGCGCGGCGGCTGCGACGTTAGAGCCAAATCTGGTTCAATATTTCCCTCTAATACAACCAACTTAAACCCTAATGTCCCTCATAGCCCCACTCACCCGCCAAAATTCATCTACCTTGTCGCTTGTATTCACGCTCCTCGCGCGCCACCTGTCCTCGGCCAACCCGTCCACCACCCCTTCCCCCACTCCTTCCAAACTCCATGATCGCTACTCATTTGAACCTCCTGCATCGCTTTTCCCCGCATCCCAAAACCCCCCTGATACAATCGTCAAACCGAAGAAAAAACAAAAACCCCAATACCGCCCCCCTTCATCGCTTGATCGAACTGGGCGAAAGCCAGTACAGTCTGATTTGCCCTTTGATTTCCGATACAGCTACACGGAAAGCAGCCCACAGTGAGGCCGATTGGGCTTAGAGAACCCAAGTACTCGCCGTTTGGACCTGGCAGGCTTGATCGGCTATGGACAGGTGTTTGTGCTCCGGCGGTGGACCCAATGTTGAAGAACTTGGAGGGAGAGGAGGATCCGAACTTGATGGAACAGAGGATGAAAAAGAGAGAGTTAATTCAAGGTAAGCCACTTAGTGCAGCTGAGAGGAAGGTACTGGTTTTGAAGTGTGAAAGGAGCAAAACTAAGAGGCAAATCAACTTGGGTAAGTGCTGGTTTTGGTTTTTTTCCTTTTGGCGTTCGTGGTTTTGTTATAGTTTTTGAAGGTAATGTAATTGCTATAGCGTGGATTATAGTTTCTGTCTGGTGACAAGTCGGGAGTTCTTCACATTGCTGAGCAACAGATCATAAATTGAATTTCAGTTTTGTATTATAAACTAGAAATTCTAGTGGGGTTGAGTATGAAGCTTTAGTTATGTGCCCTTAAAATTGTGGGTCTGTAGTTCCTTGATTAGAAATGAACAATGGTAGATTAAAACTAAGCCATATTATAAATAAAAAAGATAAACGGGGAGGGGGAAGAGAGAGAGAGAGAGAGAGAGAGAGAGCACAGAGACGATATTGAATAATAATAAATATGGATGTCTCGTCCAATGGGGATTTGAACTATGTTTAATTGCCCATTTTTTCCATGTTAGTAGAATGTTACAGGAGACTATTTAAATTATTTTATTTTATTTTGGCCAAAAGACAATAGCTAAATAAATTAAACAACACTTTGAACTCTATTTTGCGCTCTTTTATCTCTTTCTCTGTCAGTTCAATAACCTCTGCATGTGCTTTTGTTTCTTTTTGGGTTGCAGGGAGGGATGGTTTAACTCACAATATGTTGAACGATATTCATAATCATTGGAAGCATGCAGAAGCAGTTAGGATTAAATGTATGGGTGTACCTACTGTGGACATGAAAAATGTTTGCACCCAGCTGGAGGTATACATCTCTTTAAAGAAATTTGTATTCTTGTTCTAGTAATGTTGCATGTGGGATTTTTTAATTCTGATGAAGGTTGTAATTGAAATTGAATATATCCTCTTCTGTTCAGCTTGAAGCTTCTATGATGCTTTGTTGTTTCTGACTTCTGAGGGATTATTATATTCCCGGGCTTTTATTTTGGTGGCAGAAGTGTATGTTAGATACTGTTATAATTCTTATCTTCTAATTCAGCTGATTATGCAAATTGAAGCGAATTTCATTTTCTTTTCACAGGATAAAACATTCGGAAAGATTATTCATAGGCATGGGGGTACCCTTGTATTATATAGAGGCAGGAATTATAATCCCAAAAAGAGGCCTGTAATACCTCTCATGTTGTGGAGACCCCATGAACCCGTCTATCCAAGACTGATCAAGACAACAATTGAAGGCTTAAGTATTGAGGAGACAAAGGAAATGAGGAAGAAAGGATTAGCTGTCCCTGCTTTAACAAAGCTTGGTATGTTCTAGTTGTATTTTCTATTTTGCAGTTGCTGATTTGTGCTCGCACAGTTTGCTGACTCTGAAGTTAATTGCAGCCAAAAATGGTTATTATGGTAGTTTGATACCCATGGTGAGAGATGCTTTTCTCTCATGTGAGTTGGTTCGGATAGACTGCCAAGGCCTTGAGAAGAGTGATTACAAGAAAATTGGCTGCAAACTTCGGGTAAAGACAAGTTATTTTTAGTGTTCTATTTTAGGTGAGCTATATGTGATGTTCTCTTTTTGATATTTCTTATCTTGTGTTAGCTTGTCAATGGCATAGGGCACTAAATAGCAGTAAGCCAAAATTCACCTTGCCACCATAGTGGATGATGTGGCTGCCTCCATGTATGAACGCGGCAACCTTTTAAAAAAATTATTATATAATAATGAGTGGAAATAGAATTGAAGATCTGAGGAAAACAGTCATTGTAAGAAATTTTTTGACCAAATATGTCATCACTTGAACTAAGAAGCCATACCAATAAGCAACCTATATTCAGGCTTGGGAAGACCAACAGTTACTTGATAGAAACCATTAGTCCTGTGTTAAATTTCTATATTCCACCATGTTGGACCTCATCCATGGAGATCACTATTCTGAAGTAAATACCATGTGAAGTTGCTCATCATGAAAGTACCTTGTGTTTTCTTTAAATTTCATCCATGCATCAATGCTATGGCAGAGTGGAGCCATGGTGGATTTTGTTGGCAACCATGTCTTGTGCTGCATGACTGAAATACAAAACTTTTTTGAGCTTAGATTAATCTTCAGGAGTTTGGGATTTAATATACTAATATTACTAAATTATTCAATTGCCTAAAAATGTGGACAACACCAAGTTTTTCTTATTTACATTTGATCACCATACCTTGCAACGACAGTCTTCTTTTGAAGTGTATAAAACCAGGCGGTGATGTCACCACTATCATTGTTAACATATATATACTTTTTTGGAACACTACTTGGAGGGAAGCTTTTATATTAACAAATTCCTTCCACAATATATGCACTGGTTGCTTGCTTTAACCTGGTTAATATGGATATCTGGTCAGTTTGTGGAATTTTTTAACCACCGGAAAGCATGGAATAAGTTTTTTTAGGCCAAAAACGAAATAAGTTGTTCAAGAGGCTAGATTCTCCTCACTATGGTTGTTCTTCCTTGCCTTCTACCATGTGACCCACCCTCTATATTCCAATGGTCCTCTCAATCACTTCCTTTTCTATCTCCTCTAACTACCTGAGGTAGCTTGATGACCTCATTATCTCATTTGCCTCCATTTGTCCTAGCTGGAGAATCACTGGGTTGTTAATATGGACCATTGTCCCATATTCCTTTGCTGCTTCTTACGTTCATAAGTTACTACGGGTCTGTGCCCGTTAAACTTCATTCCAGGCTCTTTGCTATTGGGAATAAATGCAGGAGAGGAAGGTTTTGATGAATACATTCCTTACAACAGCAACAACAAGTCTTATCTTACTAAGTGGGGTTGGCTATATGGATTGTACGATGTCATTGTACTTTATCATTTATCAAGCTTTTAGAAATATTGTTAACTAAGTAGTCTCAGTCAACTTCTTCAATGAATATATTCCTTAAATGGGAGTTTTTTTTTTTTTAGTTTTTTCTTTATTTTCCAGAGGGTGAAGTCATTTAATTATTTAATTACAGTAACAGCTTCTTTCCCCTGCGTTTCAAACTGTTTGCATAGAAGATTTACTTTCCGGCTGTCAAGTTTCGTTCCCTTGAGCTCTGGGTGTTAAGTTGTTCATTGTCGAGTATCTTATGTTATAAATGCAGGACCTGGTGCCTTGTATTCTGGTGACATTTGACAAAGAACAGATTGTGGTTTGGAGGGGAGCCGATTACAAACACCCTGAGGATGGATACTCATTTTCGCATCGAGAATTGTTTAATGATTCTGACGATAACTTAGTCTCTGGAGAGGATGCGCATGATAAGTTTGATGATAGCAGCAGCTTATGAGATTAATACTGATGTTTGCATTGGTGATGAGGTTCCATTTTCTTGATGCAAATAGCAGCCGTGAATGAGAAGTTCCTTTAAGATTGGATTGGAGTATTATCGAAAAGAAAAAAGTCAGAGAGAGAGAGAGAGAGAGAGAGAGGAACTTCCAAGAAAGCTGCGTTGATGCTTCTATTTGCCCAAACTTGTATTTCTGCTCCTGATCGATTTGGTCCTTCCTGCTAGTGGTTGACATGCAATCTGGAAGATACTATAAAGCAGTAAATTAGCTACAGCTGACATTCGGATTATTCTACAGATGCTCTGGAATATGCTCTTCTTCTTGTGGTGGTGGTGTATTATTTTGACAAGTCTTGGTGTATTATTTTATGATATGCAAAGTCGCATGATGTGGAGAGCTACACTTTCTACGGAAAGAGCTGAAATTGTTATCAAGTGTGTTTGTGGTCCTGCAGGAATTTGGATCCTAACTAAGAGGTTGAACGGTCTAGCTTACACCGTGATTCTCAGCGACGAAAGAGTACGTATTGTTATCAAGAACAAAAGAAAGGGAGCTTAAAATTCGAAGGGTATATTCCTTGATGTGGTTCTGAGTGCTCGTCCTTACCAAACATGTTGGCATTCCACGCGCCTCAAATCTCCATGGACCATTTGTGATTTATTACTCTAGTCAATTCCTCCTGCTGGGCATGCTGCTATAGTATTCAGATTTAAATTTGAACAATTATGGTTTTCTCTTTATTTTTTATTTTATTCCAAAGTATTTTTTTTAAAAAAATATTTTTCTTCTGTGTCATGTTTTTTCTGGAGTAGAAATATTAAAATTAAAATTCAAAATACTCTAAAATTTTCATATCTAAACTAGTCTAAATTTATTGTTTTGCACTAGCATTTTCGGATTATTGCAGCGAAGTAGCTGGAAAATGGAATCTGAATTCTATCGTCTCGTCAAAATAATTTTCATCTGTGAGACTTGGACAGAAGGTGATATTTCACATTTTTTCCCCATCATTTAATTTAATTAACATTTTGCAAAACTTGTTTTGGACAAAATATTTTACCAAATTGAATGTTTTATATATGTAATTTGTTCGTTACGAAGGTAAAGTAATTTTCTATTATTTATGATTTTGAGGACAAATATTTTTTATTCTTTAGCGGGCTGTGCTATCTATCTGTAGTCATGAATCCTGTGACCTTTTTGGGGGTAATGAATTTTTCATTCCTTTGGTGTGTTTTTTGACATATTTTAGCTGAATTTTTAATGAGCCGGATTTAAAGTTGTCATCATGTGACGTCAGGGTCATGAACGCTGGCACACGGTAGTTACTAATTAGTTTTAGTTATCTCATGACTTGTAAATTCATGTTGCTTCCATCAAAGCCACATGCCCCGGCATCAGGTTCTCTTCTCATCCACCCAAACTGTAATTTCATATTATCTACTCTCATCTTAGTAATTTCATATTATCTCCAACTCTCTAGCTTTCCTTTCAAATTTCAATCCTTGAACATTTCATAGTTATCCTCCAAAAACAAAACAAAACAAAAAACAGAAACTGAACCATTTCTTGAGCTATGCATGTCATCACTGGATGGAGGCATGCTAATTTTCTCCGTATTGTCTTCATACTCGTTTGACAATCCAAATATGCATTATCCATCTTGTGTATATATATCTACTGCAAGCTAATCCGCGTTGTTATTCCTTCTAAAATTCTAATTGTATATTCTGCAGAAAGGTCCAGATCTACAAATCATACTAATTAAACTTATCTTCTGAAAACCCACTAAACAACAATCTCATATCAATCAATTTCTGTTTAAATATCGTGATGTCCTTGATCACAATCCTCCTTTGCATCACCACAAGCACGCTACCGGATTCCTTTGATTGAATATAATTTCCCATTTTCTCCCAAAAAAAAAAAGTTACTCTCACCGGTGAGACCAAATCAAAATAATAACGTTAGGGGCATAAATTTATAGAGTTGAATTTGAATGTGAGTATTACTCTAGGCGCATTTGGTTCTTAGAAAGAATTGGAGTGAGTTGCAGATAATAAAATAAATTAAATTGGGGTCTTGAATTGATAGAGGGATAGAAATTATAATAAGAGAAGAGTTATTGTATGATCCATGGATGAAAGTGGGAATTAATGACCTCATTTGTATCAATTCCTATCCCCATTTTTCTATTATTCAATGGCTCTCCTCTTTGTATATTCCATCCCTCTATCAATTAATGATTTTAATTTACTTTATTTTTTATCAATTCATTCCATTCTATTTTTTTTTAATAACTAAATAGGTATTTAAAGTGATTCAAATAATGTCAAATGAGAGGAAATAATTTTGTCATTTAAATTCTTTAAGGCCATTTTGTGTGTGTGGGGATATTAATATTGAATATGTTTCATTAAACATCAAATCAGGGTCAACAATTTTGTAAGATCTTGACCCAATCGTATTAGGGTCTTGTTCCATTTTAAAACAAATAAATCAAAGATACAAATCAAGGGGCAAAAAAAAAAGTGACCAAACAAGTGGGCAGGCTCCATCTGGAGCACGTGGCTGGCAACTTTATGATGTTTAATTAATGATATAACCCATCGTGCGACAAGCGGCGGAAAAAGGGATCATACGCGGAAAATAAATGAACTGCTTTTCTTTCTTGAAAATGTACACATCAAGTTTTCACATGAAGTATATTCTCTCCAATTTTTATTATAAAAAATTTTCAATCATTTATATATTTTAAAAATAGTTAGTATTTTTATATTATAAAAATAAAATATATTTTATTTTTATCTTTAATCTTAAATAATAATAAAATTATATTAAATATTTTTATGTTAATTAAGAAATAATAAAATTAAAAAGTCATTTAATTATTATTTTTTTATTAAAAAATATAAAACATTTTTAACTGAATTTCACTCTCCAATAAAATAGTTGTCTACTTTCAAATTAACCCTATATTTTATATTTACTCTTAATAAATATCTAATAATAAATATAAAATCACTATCAATAGAGACACTTTTAAAAAAAAGTAATGATTATACCTTAAAAAACTAAAAATGTCTTGTATTTTTTAACATTCAACTCTTTAAAAAATATCTTATATTTTTTAATAGAGGGAGTACAATATATTCTACATCTTGAACTAAAATTTATTTTTAAAAAGTACCCTATAAATAAAATCAAAAAGAGTATACTATAATATCTCATTTTTTTGTTGATAATTTCATTTAAAGGATCACCAATGTGATTTATTTACAAATGAGATTCAAAAACAATCTAGAACATCACTACAAGATTTTGGATCTAAATTGAAATTAAATTGTACAGCCAAATGACTACAATATCATTCTTGAGTTTAATTGAACAAGACAAATGATGGATTTAACAAATAATGACAAATGATTAACAAGTAATATTATGAGTTTGAGAAGTCAATTACATTAAATAAAAAATAAATTAAGAAGTAATGATTTATCATTGGTTAGATGTTCAAAATAATATTATTTGTTAAGTTCATTATGTTACTTGTTTAACATCTAGCCTATAATAAATACATTACTTAAGTTACTTATTCCATAATGTTTAACTTATTAGACACATAATGTACTCATTAATTCCCTATCATTGCTTGTTAAATCCATTATATTACATGTTAAATATCTAACATATAATAAATCATTATTTGTCAAGTTATTTTTTAAGTAACTAATTAACTAGTTAGACTCACAACATTACTTGTTAATTTTATTCACGTGCCTTATTCTAATTGAAGAAGGTTATTTTGATCATTTTAATTTATAATTTAATCTCAATTAAGGCAAAAATTTTACAGTGATATTTCATATTATTTTCATTTCAATGATCCTTTAATGAAATTCTTCCTATTTTTATTCTAAAGACTTTCCTAAACTAAAGAATCTAATTTTTAATAATAAACAATAAATAAATTACCATGTGCAATATTGTAAAAAAGTTACTCCCTCCGTTTAAAAGTGTAACATATTTTTAATCAAATCTCACCCTCAATAAAATAATTAATTATCTTCAAGTTAACCCTATATTTTTATATTTACCTCTATTCAATAAGGTATTTCACCTTTAAAATAAATATAAAGTAATTTATTTAATAAAGATACTTTAAAATAATAATTATACCTTAAAAGACTAAAATGTCTTACACGTTTTAACATCTAACTTTTTAAAAAATTGCATTATATTTTTTACAGGAGGGAGTATATTAAAGAATAAAAAAATAAAATAAAAAATAAAATTCATGTCTTAAAATTCTATATTTTAGTTAATAAAGAGTCTTATTAACATTCTGAAATTTTGAAAATAAAAATAACAACAATAAGCTATGGTTTTGTTTGGCTTCTATTCTCATTTTGTTTGTTTTTAAAAACTATTTTGTAATATAGTTTTTAAAATTATTTTCCAAAAAAAACAAAATAAAAATTTGTTTGGTTATGTTAATTTTAAAAAATTAAAATTAAAAAATAAATTAATAGTGATGGTTATAAGCAAGTAATAGTGGCTCTTTGTGATAGAAATTTGTCAAGATAAATGTAATTTTCAATAATCAAAAGTAATACATTTTAAAAATAAAAAGTAAAAAAATATTTTAAAGTTATTTCTATTTTTTTCTTTTGAAAACAAAAAAAGGAATTATTTTTGAAAACAATTAAATTCAAAATATTTAGAAAAAGGAATTTTTAAATTTTTGTGTTTTTAAAAATAAAAAAAGTTTTAAAAATAGAAAACAAACAACCCTATGTGACTCAAACCAAAAATTCACAATCCAATTCCTTTAAATGGCATTATGTATAAAATAAAATTTTTTCATACAAAATGTACTTCCCTTCCCCCATGGTAGGATATTACACATATAAATTTATGAGAATGTAAAAAGAGTAAAATACAATTAAAATCCTTCCATTTTAATTAAATTAAAAATACCCCTCATCTATTTTTAAAACTTACTCCCTCCATTCAAAAAAGTAATGTATTTTTTGAGGAGTTGAATATTAAAAAATATAAGACATTTTTAGTCTTTTGAGGTATAATCATTTTTTTAAAGTACTCTAATTGATAATAATTTATATTTATTATATAGTATTTAATAGAGGTAAATATGAAAAGATAAGGTTAGTTTAAAAATAAGTAACTACTTTATTAGGGGCTAGATTCAGTTAAAAATGCCTTATATTTCTTAACAGAGGGAGTACACTTTAATCCAATTTTTTATACTATCACATTCCATTAAGGATTCTAAAATATTTTTATTTTTATTTTCATTTTTAATTGTGCTACAAAACTTAAATTTATTAATTTGTTTTCAAAATTTAATTGTCCGCCACCTCTCCTCTCAATTTAAGGAAATTTAAATAATTAAGTATCAATATTTAAATAAATAATTTAAAAATATTTTGCACAAATTAATAATAAAATATAAACATACATTATATTGACTAATTATTTGTTATTATATATTACATCCCTATTTTATTAATTTTTTTTATAGTGTAGAGAGTAGACTCCTCTAATAGTAGAGATTATTTCCTCAAAGATATTGAAAGAAAAATGCCAGACCTCCTCTTATTGTATAGAAACCTGGACTGAATCGGGCAGTTCAATTTGTCAACCAGTGATTCAATTTCTTTTTTGGCCTAGGTTTCTACCTAAACTAGTCAGCCACTGACCCGATGTAACCTAAGGTCAACCCAAATAATCCGGCTAACTTGATTGGGTTCTTAGATTAGCCAGTTTACTTTTTTTGTTTTTTTAATTGTAAAAACTAAATAAAAAATAAAAAATTCAGCTTTAAAATTAAAAAAGCAAGGCAACAGAGGGCAAGACAATTAAACTACATTTTATCATCTTGGTTCAAATTTTAAATAGAGAGCCTTAATTGTAAGTTTGAACTTAAAAGTTTCAGTATTCTTCTAAGTTAATTGTGTCTTAGTTGTTTTAATCTTTCATTATTTGTTGTTGTTCATTTGTCTAATTGTTGCTCAGTATTTATGAATTATGATTATCATTGTTGATAATTTTAGTGTTAGTGATTATTAGTTTTAGACTTTTTGATAATTGAAGGGTTGTAAATTGTAATTGTAAGAACGAATATTTAAAAAGTTGTATTTTTTTTATTATTATTAGAGTTTTGTGTGGTTATAATTTTATAATTATTGCTCTATTTGCATCTTGTATTAGAGATTAATATTGAATTTGATTGAATGTTTTCATGATTGATGTCTTTTTATTTAACTTATATTATTTTAATCACGATCGATTTTTCCTCTGAGTTGACCCTCGATTCAATCTTGGTTGAACCACTAACCCGTAACCCGTTGGTTTGATTGATTCAATGATCAGTTTGATTTTGAATACCTTATCTCTTCCAACTAAATCACTACATGCACAAGGGTTGAGATTCAAACTCCTACTTGCTTGTTTAAGTTTTAAAAGTTTTTATCACCCATGATAACTTTAGTTAGTTTTATTAACATTTTTCTTTGTATACACATGTTTGAATCATTATTTATTTATTTCAGACAACTTATATATTTATATATTTTTAAAAATTAATAACTAAATAAATTTGCAAAATTAAAAGTTTAAAATATAATTAAAAAAATCTAAAATATATATACATTAAATTTTTTCTGGTATCTTGAATGATTTTTAGACAATATTTATATTTAAAGAAAAAAACTTGAATTCAATACACATGATTTAACAATCAATTACAAATTGAATAAATAGAAATAAAGTTTTAAAAAATAAATAGGAGGTTTGTGTTTTAAGAAGTTTAATCTTAGAAGAGCATATAGATTTAAAAATTAGAATGGCTATTGTTATTTAAAATAAATTAGTTTAAATTTTTTTGAACTTATTAATGCCTGTCATCTCACTTGGTCCAATTACCGGCCTAGAAGACAAGGCATTACACCTTTTCTCCTGAAACAGGTTTATGATAAAAGCGACTAGGAACTCTTATATGATGTAATCTGTTTTGATTTGTCATTTGCATAATCCCTTTTAATTAAAAAAAAATTAAAAAGGACAAGGCATTCGTAATGTTTTGACTTCTTTTCCCCAAACTAAGCAGTGGTACGATACTATATATGCATGTGTTGGTGTCATTATCTTGTTCCGCGGTAATATTGGATTTCCAGTTTCCACCTACCTTTCCCTTCTCTGGTTTTCCCCTTTGTATAGCAGCTTCTTGCTGCTTCTGCGTCTTCCTCTCTTCCTACCGTTCTCATAGAAACTAACAATGGTGGACCATGGCATTACCTCCCCTCTCCTTCCTTCCCAACCCTCCGATCAGGTGGTTTTGACGATGCGCGATGATGACTCTGAACGCTCATCGACTCAATCCCACAGTGGAAGTGACAACAGCAATTTCCAGCATCGTCACGACCATCGGTCGAACGGCGAAACCGTAGTGGCTTCTTGCAATCCGTTTCGATCTCTCGGGTGCGAGGACTTGTACGTGTCTCTGCCAACTACAGTGGATCCGTTCCGCAACAACACGCCGCACATTGAGGGCGTCTACGAGTGGTTGAAGATCGTCGTTTGTTTGCCGATTGCCTTGGTCCGTCTCGTTCTCTTTGGACTCGCTTTGTCGATCGGGTATGTCGCCACGAGATTGGCCCTTGAGGGATGGAAGGATAAGCAGAATCCGATGCCGAGATGGAGATGCAGGCTTATGTGGGTCACCAGAATGTGCAGCCGCTGCATACTTTTTTCTTTTGGGTATGTTGGATTTTGCCAATATTTTTTTTCTCAAGCAAAATTAGCTAGTGAGGATGCGAATTCACTTATTTAATTCATCTAGCCTGGGCTGAAAAGCGTTGAAGTTATTGAGTGGAGAGAAAAGCGTAAGGACATGACTTATTGCTTGCGAAAATGAAGCATGTAACTTTCTTGTTATTTCAAACTGCAATGTTATGCTAAAAATCTGATTTACTGATCCATCAAAATTTTTACTTTTCAATTTTTTGGTTTACTTATCATACGGGAATTACGATTATAGAAAAGAAAGACCTCATACAGTCATACGTAAATTCTTAATGGAGCCTCATTTTTGAATATGAAATATAGTAGCCTCCTCAATTTCACTGGCGTTCAACTAATCATACAAGTTACACATCATCATATAATAGCCTCCCGCATTTACAGGCTTTCAACTTCACTTTTCCGTATGAAATATATACGCCGTAAATAAATTGAGGAAGTGTGGAGTATATGAACTTTTAATTGACTGACTGCCCACTAACTACAACTTGCCCACTAATTAGGTTCTGCGTTCTAGAACTAAACCTTCTCTGATGTTGCATTCTTTTGTCCATTGCAGTTATCATTGGATAAGACGGAAGGGAAGACCTGCACCAAGGGAAACTGCTCCAATAATTGTATCTAATCATGTATCTTACATTGAGCCCATCTTTTTCTTCTATGAATTATTTCCTACCATTGTGGCATCAGAGTCCCATGACTCTATACCTTTTGTTGGCACCATTATTAGAGCAATGCAGGTAATTTGTTTTTCTATCTACATTTTGTGTGCTCTGTTTCATATTTAAGATAACATGCAGTGGTTTGCATTTTTCTATTCTTTTGAGAATTGACTGTTCAAACTGGGAATGGGTTTGCTGTTAGCCTGTCACATGGTTTGTCCTTCAAAATCAATTTAGAGAAAAACTGTACGTGTATATAGACTACACAGATAGAGAGAGAGAGAGACCCGTTTTGAGCATTGTTGAACTATGAAACCTTAAAACCCACCTTCCACTTGGTATGATGACAAGTGCAATTTTATGAAATTTGATATTTCCTCTCCCTTTCATGTTTTTAGGTAGTATATGTCAATAGGTTCTCACCGTCATCAAGGAAGCAGGCTGTCCAAGAAATAAAGGTAGAAGTTTTCTATTAGTTTCCTTGTCCTCATTTGATCAGTAATCCTTTAAAAAGAAAAAAATTCTCTGTATTTTTATTATTGTCACTGCTGTGTTTTCAGAGGCTCGGTATCAGTTGATGCAAGAAAATGATACTGATTTTGCAATTTAAAGGATAGTGTGCCACATTAAAGTTCAATTAAGAATAATGCATGCTGTTCAACTTCAAAAGTTTCAGATTTTCAAAGTTTGGAACTCAACAGAAAGATGAATGAATCCTTAGAACTTGTAAAGACCAAGTAATAGATTAGTTTGGGTTGTAGTTAGTAAATTGTTATTGCGCATATCATGAATTTGGAAGCTTATTTCTGAATCTGAATTGTAAAAACCTTTTGAATCTTGGTTTAGCAGCAAGTAAAATATAGCTTGAATTATAAAATATTGCATATTGATATCCATACGGTATGTGTAGAGGTATAACAAATCTGTTTCCATAGTGAAGAAAGTACTTAAATCTAAGCTGATAACTGAGAAGCTCATTAATCATAAATTTGTAAGTAACTAATTTTTTTTGAAATAATTTCGGTTGATGTCTTTGTTTTTTATTAAAGGCACAGACAACATTGAACAACAATACAGCACTGTGTGGACTTATAAACTATCTTTGTGACTCATTGAAAGCTGTAAGATTCACATTGTGAATCATATAATTTGATTACTATGTTTTGTGTATGATTTTGTTTCATATATGTTATCATGTTATCAATTTATAAGCTATCTGATACAGAAATCTGCTTTCAAGGATGTGAATAACAGAGAAGGGCTTCTAGCGATAGATTTCCTCGAGTACTTTTGTTTCCAGAGGGAACCACAACTAATGGCCGAAATCTTATTTCCTTTCAACTTGGTGCATTTATTCCTGGTTACCCAATTCAGCCTGCAATAGTTCGCTATCCTCATGTACACTTTGACCAGTCATGGTAGGAAATTCTTTATGATTATACCATCATTTTGTTGTTTCAACTGGTGTCTGATCACTTTTTTTTTTTGGCACGCAATTTTTCATAGGGGTAATGTTTCTTTAGCAAGGCTCATGTTCAGGATGTTCACTCAGTTCCATAATTTTTTTGAGGTATACTCCCCTGAGGATTTGTTTCTTTGGAGGTGGTTTTCTTCCCCCCCCCCCTCCTCGCTTTCTCTCTGTTTTTTAACTGGGCCTGCAGCTTGGGTTGTGTGCTGCCTAGTTTGGTACGCTTGTTCCCAAAGTAATTTAAAACATTCTTAAATGACACAGGTAGAGTACCTTCCAGTCATTTCAGCTCTGGATGATAAAAAGGAGACCGCTTCACAATTTGCTGAGCGGGTGAGTTTATCCCCCTGCACCATTCAATTCTTGTTTCCCCCTTTTTTTGTTTTGAAACTTATTCTTTGGCTGCATAATTTAGAAAACAATCACGAGATGAGAACTTCTATGCTTTAAACTTTCTTAATCTGATTATTTTATAATTAGAATTGAGTTGAGGAAGAGAAAGCTTGTTTTTGAAAAACAATTATTCTCTAAATTCAAGCATGTTCTCGTTTAAGAATGAATTTTATTTACTTTTATCCATTGCATCACGCCTTTCATGGTGCATAACTTATAAATTCATTTATTTTACATTTTTTTAAAATTATGTTATCTCTTCTGAGTTTGGATTGGACTATTATTGTGTTCACTTTGATGTCTGAATTTAGGTTATTTCTCATGCTGTTTTTCCATCTTTCATAACTTGTGTGGGTAATTGATAACTAATAAACATGGACATGTGCAGACCAGTCGTGTTATGGCAAATTCATTAAATACTGTGCAAACAGGACATTCTTTTGGGGACTTGATGCTTTTTATGAAAGCACAGGAGGCGAAACAGGTGCATTTCTTAATACTTCTTTCAGCAATTTATCTTCAGCCTAGTTGCTTGAGATCTTAAAATTTGTTTTGTACATTTTTATAAATGACTCTTTATTCTCTTTGATAGTGCATTATGTTAATCTGCATTAATCTTATCACTTGTTGCATTTTATGTTATTAGCCATTAGCAAATAATTTTTTTTATCATTACCCATAAACTCAAATCTAAAATCAATATATTTTTTCTTCAGGCCAAAAAAAATTACAATAAGTTCTATTTGTGCACCTTCTACAAAGTTGAAGGTATAGCATATAGGGAGGGCTACACGAATCATTGAGAAACCACCAAGGTGGAGCAGTTGACAATATAGCAAATGTGCCTTTTTTGGGTTTTCTATTCAAGTTACATGTCCATTTTTTGGGGGAAATAAAAGAATCCGAAACTTGAGCCATTACCCTAAAATGACCTTTGATATTCCAAAGTTAACATCAAAATCCCAAAACGCTATTCTAATCATATCTTACTCTTTGAAACCCTAAATCCACTTCTAAATCCTCAATCTGTATCATGGGTAAAGATTTTAATTTATTATTCACTTTCCCAATGCAAATTCTACTCCTATCTTCATATTCCTTTTTTTTAAAATATTTTTCTGAATGAAATTGATAAAGTATTTTTTTCTTGAAAACAACGCACTGGAAATAGTGTTGCAATGATCAAGTGGTCATCTTAGGATATAGAGTAGTGTTAAATATTTCCTCATCATAGCATGAAGTTTCTTTTTAGCAAGTGAAGTGCTACACTTGTTATTTGTGCACCTTTACAATCCTGTCTTTTCTGCTTATATTTCACCTTGTTGGACTTTTCAGGAGAACCCTTCAGTTTATATGGTTGAATTGGCTAGAATGGAATCAGTGAGTCCTTAAAAATTAATGCACTTTAATTGTTTATGCCAAAATAGAACCATCTTCTGTTCTTATATTCTGTTCTTTGATGATGTGGTCATGTTACCTGGTAAATTATTTCTTTCAGCCAGTAACAGATTTATAGGCGTCTAAACAAAATCCTGCCTTTCTCTTTTCCCTTTCAAATTGCATGTCCAACAGTATTACTCAGTTTACGGCTGTATGCAACTCATGCAATTGACATTTGACCCTCATGGGCCCACAAATTGAAGGGCATCTTAAATTTAATTGTTCCCAGGAGCAATCCTCTGTAGTTGCTTGATGAATTTGGAAATAACATTGCTCTCCCTTTGTTTTTTGTTTCTTTCTGTCATTATTTCTTTTCCTTTTCTTGTTTGTTGTGTTATATTGCTTTCTTGTCCTCTGTTTAGGTTTTTCTTATTCTCTCTCTTCTCATCAATAATTTATTTTTTGTCAAGAAAAGGTAAAATGTTATAGATTATTTCATTATTAAACAATTAGTACCAATAAACTTAAAGGAAAATTTGGTTATTAGATTATACCTCAAGTGAAAAAATTTAGATATTTGAGAGCTATTATTCAACTTAATGGGAAATTGATGGAGTTATTTGTAATATTAACATACCTAATAAACTTAAAGGGAAGTTTTATTGAATTGCTATAAGACCAATAATATTATATGGTAGTGAATGTTTTGTTTTAACGAGATAGTAAGAGTATAAAGTTGGAGTAGTAGAGATGAGAATGTTGAGATGGATGTGCGGACATACACGTAAAGATAAAATCCGAAATAACCATATACAAGAAAAAAGTAGCATCATACTTATTGAAGGAAAATGGGCGGAAAATTATTTGAGATGGTTTGGAGTTTGGACATGCACAAAAAAGACCACGAGAGGCATTTGTGAGGACAGTGGAACAGATAACTTTAAGTCCTATCAAAAGGGTAGAGGAAAGTCAAAGAGAACACTTTTGGAAGTTGTGGATCAAGCCCTCTTAATTAACAATATTTTTAAAAGTTTGATAACGATAGAGTATAATAGCATCTTGCAATCCATATAGCCGATCCCACTTAGTGAAATAAGACTTGTTGTTATTGTTGTAAACAACTAGTACCAACATCTCCATGACCAAGTGGTTGCTGATTAGAAATCTGATATTTGCAGTCTCATCGCGAGTACTGCAGTGCTTTGCTCACACCTGAACTCAAAGGGCTTTCATAAGGAAGGATGTATCAGAGATTATGATTTTATTAATGATCCTTTACTTAATACTTAATAGTTTAATCTGTTGAGTTGAGGTGGTCCTTCATAATGACAAGTTTGATTACTCTTTCAATATGTAGTACTGAAAATATGCAACAAGCCAAATTCTTGTTCATTTTTTCCGTCAGTGATATGGGCCTGTATGACACCTATGTGTCTTTGATCACCACCCACCTATATCTTCGTATTTGTAGTCTGAGATTCTCAAACTTTGGTTGTTTCCCATACTCCAGTTTGATTTAAGATAATCTAGTCTGTATTTTTTAAATTAGACCATATTACTTGCTGCATTTGTTTGAAAGATAAAGTAAAGTTGTGTTTCTTTACAGTTCATCCGTGTAAGTAGCATGGAAGCTGTGGAATTCCTGGATAAATTCCTTTCCATGAATCCTGATCCCAGGTACTATTAGAGCATACTTGTAATCAACACGTAAAACTTTTCTTGTACGTGTACGAGGGAAACAATATTTGTTAATAATTGATTCTGTATTTTGATGGTAAGCAATTGACTATTCAGTCATTATAGACACTCATTATTTTCTTTTTAGGGAAAAATAAATTCTGCAGTAAAGCTCTGTTTATTGGTAATAGTTGGTATCTTTTTCTCAGTTGAATCTGTTAATAAATTTGGGTTCTTTTTTGTGTTTTCTTTTTGGGGTTTTGGTTGGGGGGGGGGGTGTGTGAAAGATTGAAGTATTTCATAATTGTATGAAAGATTTCTCTTGGGTGGTCAACATATTAATATTTCTGCCCCTTGACCTGAAGTTTTTAAGCCTAACTAGTTCTGGAATATAATTATTTCCTTTTGGAATTTTTTCCCTTAACCTGAAGCTTCGAGGATTGAGGATCTAAGCTTTAAGCATAGCATCAATGGAACTTTTATACTGGCATGAAATTCTTCCATTGATCTGATATGAGACGTGGTAGAGTGAATTGAACCCCTGTCCATATACGTATTGTGGGTGATAATACAGTATATATGATTTTATATAATTTCTGTGCTACTCTAGTTCACTTGTTTTCACATTACGCACGCACTCCATATGATCATAGCATCCCTGTTAGTGTTCCTTCGTGCTCTGTCCCCTCTTTTAGGTACTTATCAGTGATCTACATGAAGTCATATGTTGGTGGAACTGTTCCATGCATTTATGGGTTTAATGATAAAATTTTTATTCTACTTGCAGTGGTCGTGTTCAGTATCCTGACTTCTTGAGGGTTTTAGGACTTAAAGCTTGCCTTCTAGCCGATGAGGTTAGTTAACAAATGACTGCTTTCTTTCTCAACAATACTAGTTGTTTGGATCCATTATAGTTTTGTTGTGTGTTGTTATGCCTTGTAAAGTAGGGATAGAATGTTTTAAACCAGCAACATAGCAGCTCTTTGCTTTATGTGGTTAGGCATTTTGCTATTATGTTATCAAAGCTATTACTTGATTAAGTGCAATCTCCTTTTTAATTCCAAAGTAGAAACCCATCCTAAGCAATTATTACTTTTAATCCCTCAGCCCCTTCTCCCTTGTTACTTCTCTTCTTTTCCTCATTTTTATCCCACAATCCATTCACTGTTCCATGGAACTATTTGTCACATTGCTTATGTTAAGTTCTGATCAATATGTTTCAAGTCCACAAGAGCTTCATAAAATCCAAGATAAGAAGTATGGTGAACAGGGCTTGCACTAATGGAATTCACTTGTGGCATGTCCTCTTTTTCTTTACGACACTCTGAAGATAGAAATAATCTTGTGTTTGCTCAAACCTCAATATTCTCAAAAATATTTTGACATTCTGTAGTGAATTAGCAGTCTACTTCTGAATGATTTTGTGATGCCGTAATGTATTACTTTATTATAGAAACATTTAAATAAATAGATTCAAGAAACCCTCAATCAATAGAGAGGATTTGGCTGAGATTCTAGGGATTAGATGAAACAGAAAATTAAAAATCAAATCTGATCCCTATAGACTCATAGATGGCGCTAATTCCTAGGTTAATTAACCTAGTTATTGATTCAGGGTTTTAGGCCCAAGGCCCAATAGGTGTGCCACACTAACACTCCCCCTCAAGCTGGCAAGTAGATATCTTCCATGCCTAGCCTGCTTCTAAAGTATTCGAATTTGCCTCTGTCTAATGGTTTGGTAAGAACATCAGCAACTTGACAGCTAGAACGTATTTGGGACAAGTCAATCACCCTTGATTCCATCTTTTCTTTTATGAAATGCCGGTCAATATCCACATATTTAGTTATGTCATGATGAACTGGATTCTGAATCATTTGACGTGCTGCCATAGTATCACACCACATTTTTAAGGGTGATCCAACCTCAATTCTCAAGCCTTCAGAACACATATTATCCACATCCTTTCACATACTCCATTAGCCACAGCTCTTAAGTTTAGCTTCTACACTACTTTTGGATACAACAGTTTGCTTCTTACTTTTCCATGTTACTAGGTTACTCCATACAAAGGTGAAGTAACCACCAATTGATCTTCTGGACTCATGTTAGAAACAACCTTGTGCTTCTGACTTTTCTTGGTGTCAAGGTTTCCCCACACAAATGAACAGTAACCTGAAGTTGATCTTTTATCCTTGTAGGTTCCTCCCCATTCAGCATTAGCGTGAACTTCTATTGAGAATTAACAAAAGCTGTACAACTGAAGATTTTAAGTGGAAGATTGGTATCAAGATGAGTGATAGAATGAGATTCTTTCAATTTATCAAGTGGCGTAACATGAGACAGAACACGGCTGGGCATCCGATATATTAAGTAAGTGGCGATAAAGATTGCATCGCCCTAGAAAAGTTTAGAGCACGAGCCACTTCCAATTGGTTTTTTTTTTTCCTTTTAGCAATACCATTTTGTTGCAGGGTGTTTGGACATGTACTCTTATGAATAATGCCATGGGTTTTCAAAAACGCTTCCATTGACTTATTACAATATTAAGTTTCATTATCAGTGTGGAGTACCTAGATGGTGGTGTCAAACTAAGTTTTGATCATGGTGTGTAATTCAGAAAAAACAAATGGAATTGTAGATTTATTTTGTAGCAAGTAAACCCAACACAACCTAGTGTGATCGTCAATAAAAGTAACAAATCATTTTGTATGAGTATGATTAGGAATACTAGCAGGACTAGCACTTGACCATTCCACCTTAGTCATGAGATCAAGCACTTGCCACAACGTACGGAGCTCTAAACAAAAGGCAGCAATGTCTCGTTCACCTTGTTGAATGGCCCATGCCTTTGTTTTGAGTTCATAAAGGTGTGTTAAGTCCTTTCCATCCGAATAAAAATCTCGCATAGCCACCCAAATCTCGTGCGTGGAAGGTAAGAACATAAAACTTTGCTAAACCTCCTTTATCACTGTGTTAATGAGCCATGATGAAACTAGAGAATTGTTGAGGCACCATCGTTGCCTTTCTTCAACTTTGAATTCATTTGGGATTTTTGATGAGCCATCAAGGAAGCCCATCTTACTCTTGCCTCCAGCAGCAAGTTTCACGGCTTGTGCCCATGTTCGATAGTTTGCGCCAGTCAATTTCATAGTCACGATCTCAAGGATCCATCGTGGTTAGTAGTCAACCTAAAGGGACCACCAACCTTGTGTAGATCATACAGCGAGGACCCATCACTCTTTGTAATTGGAGAAGATTTGTCTACGATGCTCTCTGAATTGGACTGCTCGGCGTCAGAATTCACTTGAGAAGTGACCAGCTCTAATACCATGTAGTGAATAAGCAGTCTACTTATTGATCATTCAGGTATTGTATGCATATATACAAGAGTGAGAGCAATATTCTCTTCGTAAATCAAGGACCAGAATCAGTCAACAATCCTATGAGATAAAATCTCATTCAATCAGATTCTACCCAATCCCTTAGAAAAACTGAATATCAATAAGGAATATTTACATTTAATATTTATAATAATAATTACTAGGTCTAACCATGCATTCGATAGCATGTTAAATTCATGTCTCTGTGTCAGTCATAGTATTCCTTAAAACCATAGAAAACTATTCTTAGATATCAATGATGATCTTTAATTCAAAGAAATTATAATTACTTATGAATCAACATTATTTTCATAAGAAAGTTAATAACGTTAATAGTGCTGGCGGTGGTTTTTTGGTTTGGGGGGTAGAGGTTGAGGTGAGGGTGGATATGGAAGTGATGAAGGGGAAGATGATGACAAAGCTAATGGAGTCGAAGGTAGCAATAGCAATGGCAAAGATGGAGGCAATAAGGGCAGCGGTGTTGGCAATAATGAGTTACCAAAGTGTAAGGGTTGTTATATACTCCCTCTGTACCTCCTTAGAGACAATAAGAGCCTTTTGGGGGTACAAATATAAGGAACAGCTACCCATTGTCTTGTGCATTTATTAAAAATTTATTCTTTTTACCTGTGTTATGCTAGCATCATTAAATACACAGCCATCATTTCAAACAATCAAATATGGATTTTTTCTGGGAAAAAAAAATCTCAAACATGTTTATTGATCTTCACTGTATACTTTGGTCCGTGTGCATTGATTATTTGTTTCTTACAGAGGTGCAGAGAGAGTAAGTAACGATTAAGTTATGTTAGTTGTTATGATATGGTTAGGTGAGTTAAGTTATATCTGATCCTCAATGTGTGCATTTTTACATACATAAATACAACTATGCTCTCAGCTACAGAGTCATTGAATGAAATCATCAGTTTCATTGATTTTTTTCACAAAGGTGGTAGCAGTAGCCGCAGCAATTTAGAAGTTGAAAGTAATGATGAGTGTGTAAATTAGTCTTTTTATCTATAGACGATAATAGTTTCTGGTTACTGGAATAGTATTCTCGCCCCTGCCCCCTAGTTGGGAACAAAAATGTTTGAATTTGTGGGGATTCCTGGATTTATTTTTACTTGCGTAGCAAACATGAGAATTTATTATTCTAGTCCTTGAATTGCGTAGAGTATTGAAAAAAAAAAATCATTGTATCAAATGCCTCCTTATAGATAATGATAAATGATAGCCAAGATTCTAAACAATAATAATCTATAAGAACATGACACAGATAATCTTTTGAGAGGTCCACTTTAATTGGGTTTCTCAACAAGATTGATGCAAAATTCATGATAGAAGGAGTATTAGAAAGCTGCAGTGGTATATATAAACTTAAAAGAAAGGATAGTTGCATATCTTATATTCACTTCTCTCTTTCTTTCCTCTCCCCTTTTATATGCTAGCCAATTCATCCGTTGCAGTTTGGGTTGCCAAGTTTCTTTCCTCAGCTGCTTTAAACTCTTCTTCTTGCATGATTTAATATTTCTTTTTCCTGCTTTTCTTTTCTGAAGATGATCATATTGGATTGCAGATTTTTTCATTCATTGATGTGGAGAAGAATGGCACAATTACGTTTAAACAGGTAATTCACTAATCTACCTTATTTTGCTAGTTAGAATATGACAGAGATGGTATCACACTGGGTGACATTGGCACTGACAGAAGGTTTCTAACCGTAACTTTAGGTTTGATTTAACATTGTTGCTTGTAATATTCAGCTCATAGTGACATTAACTTGTTTCTAATTTTCTGCCAGTTCTTGTTTAAATCCGCCCATGTCATGAAGCAGGCATTATTTCACCAAGCATGTCAATCAGCTTTTGCTCAATGTGGGGGCGGCAATAGCGACTACATCACAGAACAACAAGTATCCTACTTCTTCCTTTTATTCAGTTCGCTTTGAAGTAAATGTTAAAATAATACTTGCTTGCTTTCCCTTTTCCTTTTTAAAACCAGTTACTAGATATCATCCGACCTGCTATCCCTAACTTGGAGGAGGACGAGGTAACTTACACTTGTGTTATCTTTTTTCCCAGGACGAAATAGTTCACATTCGTCTAGCTATTCATTTGGTTTGATTTATGATAACTGGTTATGGTTATTTGCAGGTTCATAATCTGTTTGTCGTATTTGATACTGACAACGATGGGAGAGTAAGCAAAAGCGATTTTCATTCGTGCCTCAAAATAAATCCTCTGCTCATAGCTCTTTTTATACCTCATCTGCAACATAAAAACTTATTAAGCTGTACTGACGAACAAGAGGAGATAATATGATGGGCAACGGGTATCATTAGGTGGTACCAAGGCACCCAAATACTTCTGGCTTTTTCTTTCTTTCTTTCTTTTGTTTTAGGTGTCTTCAAAAGGGACTAGGGTAGGGAGTTTCTGGTAATTGTCTAAAACGGGGGTTCAAGGGCTTCTTTTTTTATAACCTTGCCCTGATGAAGTACTAAAAGTCCCCATTATTTTGTTCCTATGATTTTCTTTGGTGGGTCAGTTTAACTGAGTTTCTGTTTTGTCTAGGCTTTTTGATCATACTGATCTGATCTAAGCATCTTGGATTAGGATTTTCATGATTCATGTAAGGTTATTTTGTTGTATTCTGAAATGACTTGTAAATTCTATGTTTGTAACATAATGAAGATGCCGACATGATGAAAATTATGAAAAATTGATGATAGAATACATGGATAGAGAATCCTATTGAATTAATGATTTTAACTTTTGTTTAACTTTTTTTCTTAGATTATGCGTCCATTTTTTGGCTTGATATGATGCGGTTCTCGGGGTTTCATGATTTAGTGGAGGATAAAAATTCTTTCTCCATATGGAGAAACTTTGGAAATAAAATTGTCCATTCCTGCTCTCTTCCATGTCTTCTACATCCTCTCATCTTTGTGCGTTCTTCTGTCTCCACGTTCGAAATGTTAAATCACCTCGTCTTCCTCATTTTTTTTTTTTTTTTTGCCCTGGATGCCAGTTCGAACTCGTGTCTTGCGATTTAAGAGCATGGGAGTAGACCAGAGAGACACGGAGTAAGTGGCTTTCCCTTCTTTTTTTATTCTTCCCCTTTCCCCCATGTTCTTGCGATTTAATTGATAATTCTTTTGACTTCTTCATTCACTTGGGCATACTGAGCCTCCCTCGCACCATTGCATCGATTTTTTCCCTCATTTGTTACACCATTTTTTTGTTACGAGAAAAATGAAAGATTGCAATGAATTTATTTTGATTTATAATTTCTTATTTTGTATAATTTATTTTGTTCAAGTTATTATATTTAATATTTAAAAAGAAATATAAAAAAATTTTCCAAAATATTTATTTTAAAAAATAAACACATGAAAATATATTCTTACCAAATATTTAATTTTAAAGTATTTTGATGATGTTAATTTTAATATTATTCTTGCCTTCAATTTATTTTTATTGAGATAACTATAAGAAACAAAATATGCATTGACACATGGATATCATGGTCGTTGTAATATTTGTTCCATTTTTTTTTCCTTTGTAATTTTTCTTAGACATCCAAATATATGGAGTAATAACATTATCTTCTAATCCTAACCAGGATCTTGTACCTCTTTAATCATATATGTGCAATAAATAAATTAGTTTATCAGCATAATTTATTTATTTGGTTATTTTCCAAGAAGAGGGAGGAGCTATCAGGATTCAACCAGGAAAAATCCAAGAGCATTTTGTAACATTTCTGTTGGCAAAGCAGTGGAAGAAATCGCATAGCCACAATGTAATTATGCAAATTCTTCCGCTGGTTTGATCGCCCCCACCCTTCCTCTCACATTATCTTAAAATTTCTCATATTTGTGCCACATTTGGACTAAAAGCGACTTATTATAACTAGCGAAAGAAGAAAACAGGGATGATATTCAACTTGACAAAGGCATAGTATTTTTCATCCAAAACGATAGTAAGGAGTGTCCACGGCGTTGACAAAAGTTACAGAGTATGTATTAATTAACATTTTTTAATATTACTCCTAGCAAATTATTAAAAAAATAATAATTATAAGCTAGTGCTTTTATATTTGTTTTCGAATGTTTTGTTTCTCACTCAATTTAATGGGAACAAAGTTAGAAATTTTTGAATTTTAAGATAAATTTAATAAGTTGACATAAAAATTTACTCAATCAACTCATGCATATATAGTATGTTTCCGCGTTTTCTAATTTAGAAAACTGATTAGGAATAAGGTATGTTTGGTTTATAGTTAAAAGTGTGGTTGTCAGATTAAAATACATTTAAAATGATAAAAGAAAGAAAGCAAGCGTGGGCCAGAATCAACAGAGGACGAAGAAAGCTTATAAGAAAGACAGGGCCTGATGAGAGCTGCAAGATCATTGGGTGTTAAAAAGACATCTCAAGCATTCCTTGGGTCAACAATGAATCTTGGGATTTAATATCAATACAAATAGTGTGTGTATAAAAACAAGTCAGGAAAAAAAATTTAATGAATGTATATCTCTATTTTTAGAATAAAAAATAGAGGTGAAATAAATAATTCTCAGGCATGTATATATTGGGAAGGAACCTGTCTAACCCCTTTCAGGGCATTGTGCTCCTTTGAATTTGTCAGGCGTGCCAAATGGGCTATGTTTTTAAATGAGTTCTGCGATTAGCAATTATAAATTTCCAATATTCTCTATCACAATTTTTTGAAGTGCCTAAATGAATTAGAGTCTAGAGAACGTAAGTACACGAGAAGAAATGATACTACATTTTGTAACCATGAGTACAAAGAGAGCACTCGGATGATCGGAAGGGAAAGCAAAGTAAGAAATCTGGAGGATGTTAATTGGAAATAAGAGGTTGCATTGGGCTAATTTGGGTTTGACACAGCATCAATTAAGCTGACCGATGCAGTCTGGTTTTGGGAAGGTCAAAGAAACTTCCAGTTACGAGTAAGCAAATGACATTTTAATAGGAATTCGAATTCCACCTGCCTACCATAACTGCAACCATTCGTGCTTCAAATTTTGCCTTTGGACCCTCTCACTCCTCTTCTTGGTCGCTTGAGTTGGGCTAATATTATAGGAATCCTATGTTGGCCCGGCCATTCCTTGCTCTCGGGTGATGCCTCATAGCAATTTTTAATCCAAACAGAACTTAACCAAAAAAAAAAAATATTAATTTAAAAATAATTAATTGAAAGATGTAATTCAACTAAAAATGTGTTGTATGTTTAAATGAGGAGTGAAATTTTAAAAAAAGTGAACCAGAATTCCTAATCTCAAAGATTTGCACAAAAATTCAGGAAAAAGGGAAGTGAGAAAGGATTTGAATTCGATGATTATACTTAGTGTATGTGTTGAGTGTTTGTACCATCTGAATTATTAAAATTCAAACCAACGGTTCAGATAAATTCACTTATTCATTAATCCAAATATAAATTCATAATTATTGATTTAAATTTTAACGGTTCATATAACAAAGACATTTCAATACATGTATTAAATACAATTATCAAATTTAAATCGAGTGAGGAAAGCTGCAAATAATCTCACAGTATCACGCTTCCCCATGATGAGTTTAGGGCCGTTGGATGAGATGGCGCAGAAGAATGGAGCACCGCATGCTTGGGGGTCCCCCCCGCACCTGAAAATGAAAATGAAAATAAAATAACGGGAGGCAGTCGGCAACCCAACAAGATATGGCAATCAAACCAAACCTTAGTACGTTGACATAAATGGCATCCTCCCGACTTGTCCCTTTTCCTGACACGTGACTCCCACATTCTGGGCCCCACCCCAACATCCCCCACCTCCTCTCTTAATTGTAGTATTTATTCACCATTACCATTTTGTTTAATTATACTGCTTAATGCTTAACTGTTAATTAGTGACTTGGATTGATGGTGCCCTTAACCTTCTAGTCCAATCATATTGCAGCTTTGCTCCCAAACCACCAAACATTTTCTGATTATTAGGCTTGTTAGGCTGGCTCAAAAATCCAAACAATCGTCTTCTTTTTCTTACATAAAAAATTTTTGGCAAAATTTCTTGAAAAATAATAATAAAATACTTCTAAATTATATAAATGATAATCTGATCTTTTAAAATGTCATAATTTTAAAAAGTCTCTTAAAATTTTTTTAATTAATGAATTTATATAAATGACTAAATTGTCATTAATATTGTGTTGGAAATAATAAGTAATTATCACAAATTTTATTTAAATAATTATAACTTTTTTTATATTTACAATAATACAATAGCAAATCTTAATTTTGCATGTCAAATTCTTGATATTGCTACAAGTGTTGAAAATAACAAGTGTCAATCACAAATTTTGTTTAAATAATCACAATTTTATTTCTTATATTCGTAACAAGTCAATAACAAATTACAAGTTCGTTTGTCAAATTTTTAATATTGCTACAAATGTTAAAAATAACAAGTGCTAATTACAAGTTTTGTTTAAATAATCATAATTTTTCTTCTTATATTTACAATAATGCAACAGTAAATCATAAGTTCGCATGTCAAATTCCTAATATGGTATTTGGTCATTTACAACAAGGACAATTTAATCATTTATATAAATTTATTAATGTCAAAATAAAATTTTAAGGATTTCAATGAAATTATGGTATTTCAAGAGATTAAAATATCATTTATATAAATTTTATTTTCATTTTTCCAAATTTCTTCTTTCTCTTTTTGAATGATCTTTTATTATGCTAGAACTTTCAAAAAAGGTGCAATGTTTATCTTGTAATTGTCTGTTTTTTAATTATAATCATTATCTCTCTTTTTTTTGAAGTAATGTCTCCCCAAAACTTTCAAAAAGAATGCAATTTTGTCACACCCTTAATCAAACTAACATTTGACCATTAAATTATGTGTTAACTAGAAATTTTACACATGTACTCTCCCTTTGTCTCAATTGTTACTCTTTTCATCAGTCTTCTTTCTTTCTCTTTCTTTCCTTTAATTTTTGGATAAAGAGATCTTAGAAACAAGAGATAGATCCACTTGCCCTTCTAAATCTATATAAATTGCCTCTATAAGCTCTCTATCTATAATTGGACAACTTGAAAATTTAAATTCCTCAATAAAACTTTTGTGTAAAAGGAGGATCATTCATTGTCATAGGATATGGTTGCTAAAGTAGCTTCTTCGAGGTCATATTTGTGCAAATTTCTAAGTTTAATAACCATCTAAACAAGGTAGGATTTGATTTGTTGGTGCTGGTGCAGAGCCCTCCGTCCTCCATTACCATCTCTCCCCTCCAAAAATCTTTCATACTTACAGAACTTATTACACTTGTAATTACACCATTTAAATGCTTGCAATTATAAGATATGAATTTCAGTTTCTCTTTTTTCGTTGACTTTCTCCTCCTAACTTGGACCACTTTTTCTTTCCCGCTTTCATCTCACTTTTCAATTCTACTCCCTTTGCCTTTTCAATTCTCTACCGTTTTGCTTTCCAAGTTCATTTTCATTTCCTATGCTCTTCATTTGTTTTCTTCGTTATCCTCTCATTATGCTCACTTCAACTTCTTTCACTATAATAGATTAGGCTATAAAGGATAGTTGTTTTACTCCATAGAGGATCATTGACAATCGTCATTTATCGTATCATCCTCTATTGCAAAAATAAATTTATGACAGTTATAGAACTATCCTATATGATTCAAAATATAAGAATTTTGTAAACAAATTCTCCTATATGAGCTTCTAGATT